TGCAAACCGCACACAGGCTGGAATTGAACTCAGATCCCTGGTGCTGTGAGGCAGCAGTGCTAACCACTGAGCCACTGAGGAAATTGCAGGACATTTAGAAAAGTTGAACTCAATCAAACAGAATTAACATAGTTGTGAGAGGGAAATCATGTTTGAGAAATTAACTCGAGTTTTTTAAGGATATATAAGCAGAGTTGATAAAAGGGAACCAGTAGGTGTAGTGCAATTCGATTTACAGAAGGCATTCAGTAAGCTGCCACAGAAAAGGTTATTGCACCAGACTGCACCTCATGATATTAGGGGTAATGTATTAGCATGGATTGAGGATTGATTAACATACAGAAGCTAGCGAGTCAAGATTAATGAGTCTTTTTCTGATTGAAAGATGTAAGTAGTGGAGCCCTAGGAGCATAATTATTTGCTGTCTATATTTATGATTTGAAGGAAGATGCTGGGTGTAATGTATACAAATTTACTGACGATACAAAAATAGGTGGGAGGGCATATTGCAATAAGGACTTAAGGAATCTGTAACAGGATGCAAATAGGTTGAGTGAGTAGGAAAGAACTTGACAGCTAGCGTTTGATATTGGAAAGTGTAAAGAAAATTAAAAGGCAGAATATTATTTGAATGCAGCACAAAGAGACCTGAGTGTTCTAGTGCATGAAACACAAAATGTTAGCATGCATGTATATCAAGTAATTAAGAAGGCAAATAGAATTTCAGACATCATTGCTAGAGTGTTGGATTTCAAAAATAGAAAAGCCTTGTTACAACTGTATAAGGTATGGGGGAGGCCGCACTTTGACTGCAGTCTACAGTTTTGATCTTTGTAATTTAGAAAGGATCTACTGGCATTGGGAGTAGTTCAAAAGAGGTTCATTAGACCGATCGCTTGGCTGAAAGAATTGCTAAGCTGGTTAAGTATTTATTCTTTAAGAGTTTAGAAGAGTGGTGGGGTGATCTTATTGAAACATACACAATTCTGAGGGAGCCTGACAAGGTAGATGTTGAGAAGATGTTTTCACTACTTGGGGGGAATCTCAAATAGGAGACATAGTTACAGAATAAGGAAACCCTCATTTAAAACTGAGACACGAAAGAATTTATTCTCTGAGGGTAGTGAATGTCTGGAATTCTCTACTCTGGAGAGTTGTGAAAGTTAGATCACTGAAAGTATATAAAGAGGAGGTAGATAGATTTTTGAAATTCAGGGCTATAAGGACCTGGCATGAAAGAGGAGTTGAGGTCTGGTTTGTAGAGTGGCAGGGCAGGCTTGAAGGGCTGTATCTGCTCCTAATTCTTATGTTCTTATGAATTGCTTTTTGGAATGGAAGTCTGTAGTGCTCTGGTTAATGTTTGTTAATTTATGCAAACAAATTTGATTCTCAATTTGGATAAAACTGTGGATTGTACTGTGATGATTGAGCCCAAATCTCTCACTGCTGCAATTTTTAAGGGAACTAATGAGAACCTGACTTTATTATGAAATGATGATCAGTATAGCAAATTATATTGTTATAGCACAAAAAGGATGTAGCTGAAATGAGACATACTTAAGTATCATGTGCATGAAGATACCTCAAACCACTTTATTCAAAGAAGATAGAAGTGTATATACAGAAAGAGAAAAGAGAAAGCAAGTGAGATTACAGGAAAAAACAGAAGGAAGAGAAAAGAGTGAAGTTTTGGGGAAATACTTAATAGCTGGAAAGGAGTGCCAGAAGCTAATGACTCAAAGAACAGCTAGTAGCGATAGAACAAAAAAAAGAGAAACAAGGAGTAACTTGCCAAACGTTTTAATATTTAAAAAAATTAAAAGCCATTTTGATTATTTTTTGTAAATCTGCTTACTTATCCACCATTTCTAATCTCTACATGAAGAAAATATTCTAATCACTTGGATTAACTGAAAAGTGGATGACTTCACACTTTCCCAAATTGAAAATTTATCTGTTTTGTATAGTCTTTTTTTCACATGGTTGTGTCTACGCAATTTATTTTGCCTTCTAACTGTATGTACTCTACAGAGTTGGATATAAAATTGTGCATTCCTTCATTCGGGGCAGGTGCTTGGGAGCAGGGAGGATCAGTGTGAGTGGTTGGGGAGTGAGGTTTATAGTTAGCAGTTAGAACAGGTTTTAATTCTTCTAACTTTTCCTGCCTAATGACTGAGCTAATGAATCAGAACCCTCCAAAAGTCTCTGAAGTTAACACAGAGTTGGGGACCTTTCAAGAGGGCCTCATATGCCAGGTAATTTCCCACTGAAGCTTTCTGGATGATTGCCACGTATTATTGCTTTGGGACTTTCAAGGGATGATTATCATGCAACTGATAGTGTATATCTGGTTTCTGACTATTTAGAGACTAGAAGATCTACTCAAATGTATTCCTTCAATCAAATCAATCATATGTTGAGTCCCAATTCTTTTTGAGGCCTTGTTACTGGAAATCCTCAATTTCACTCACTTTGTGAAAAAAGCCTAAATTGGATACAGTATTCCAAGCAAGGCCTGACCAGAGTCTTGTACAAGAACCAATAGTATGCCATGTCTTGGACTGAACTGTTTATGAATGTTTATGAAGACCCCATTGCTCAAGGTATAACTTTGCATCATTGCTTTAAAACATATCTTTGGAAATACATGGAAGAGAATGCGCAGTTTTTTCTTCCTCCATTTTCATAGAATCATAGAGTCATACAACATGGAAACAGACCCTTCAATCCAACTCATCCATGCCGACCAGATTTCCCAAACTAAACTACATTTGGCCCAATTTCCTCCAAACCTTTCCCATTCATGTATCCATCCAAATGTCTTTTAAATGTTGTAACTGTACCTGCATCTACCACTTCCTGTGGCAATTCATTCCATATATGAACGGCGCTCTGTTTGAAAAAGTTGCCTCTTTTAAATCTTTCCCCTCCCACCTTAAAATTATGCCCTCCCTACCCTATGGAAAAGACTATTGCTACTACCTTATCTATGTCCCTCTTGATTTTATAAACTTCAACGAGGTCACCCCTCAACCTCTTGCACTGCAGGGAAAAATGTCCCAACCTATCCAGCGTCTCATTTTAACTCAAACCCTCCAGTCCTACATCCTTGTAACTATTTTCTGCACCTAATAAATCCTTTCTAGAACTGTACACAGAATGTTGCTTTTCCTGAAGGATGCATGAGGGTTTAAGAATTCTGCCCACATGTGTAACGTTGTCCTTGTCTAATTTTGACATCACTTGCCAGATGCAACTCAGCCTCCCAACGTGCAAGCAGACAAGCATTGTCTACAGTGTTAACGCTCAGGATTTAATATGACCTGCAGATATGCAGTTCATGCCCCCAACATACTAATATTCAGATGACCAATAAAATTAAGGGGTAATTGTCTCAACACCTATTTTCTGTAGGCACTACTAGCCTCAATCTCTAACACATCCACATTCATTCAAATCATGAACTAATCCATCCATCTGGAAATATATTTTATCAATGTCCTGCCAGTCAATTGTTAATCCAGCTTACTATATTATCAATAATGCTACAGACACCAGCCTCCTAGGGAAGCCTGGTAGAAAAATTTTATCACAAACATTTTGGAACTCTAAGTAGGTAACGGCCCATAATTGGTGGTTGTAATGACAGCAAAACTGTCAGTACCCACTGTTTCATTCCAGAAAGCTAGATGGTAAAGGATAGAAGGCAATTATAGTCTGTGCCTATACGTAGGAGGCTCAAATGCCCATCATCCAATTAATCACAATTAGCAATTAATATGTAAAACAGATAGGAATTTTTTGTATGTGCATACGCACAGTTGAACGTAAAAATCCAAGATTGTCAGTCATATCCTGACCCTTCATAGAGTTCACTGTTGCAGTCTTTACAGAGGCAATTAATATAGAATTTGTGGTTTGATGTGAAATGCAGTTTTCCATGGACAATTTTCACTGCCAAAAACATTGAAATAGTTCAGTTTTGTCAAATGACATGTAATCATTACTAAATCATAATTATAGTTGAGCAACCTCTCTGATTCTGAAAAGTTGATGTTATAAGTTTGGAGTGTAATTTTCTCATAATATCAGTTTTAAAAATCTTGACTTTTAATTTTTTTTTAAAATTTGTATTTTTTTCAGCTTCTATCTTAATTGCATGTATGTGTTACAGTCTTTACTTCACTTTCTGTAAAATGATTAAAATGTAAATTTTAAATTTAATCCATGCATTGTACTATTTGGTTTGCTATCTGAGACTTATTTAATCTGCTGATCAGCCTGTTTTATGACTTCATTGTTGCTGAATGACATTATCCTCTAGAAGCTACAAGGTGAGGACCTGTCTCCTTACCACTGGCTGGAAGATATGAATCATTTTCTGCTAAACTTCTATCATCCATAAACTTTGGAAGCTCTTTACAAAATAAAGTTAGATTTATAAAGCATGATCTTTTTCTGAAATCATGTTGGATGCACCCAATATGTCCTTTTTTACCCAAGTAATCACATATTGCACCAGTCCTGACTCCCTTGAACACTCTCCTGTTGTCTGGGATGTCAAATAAATGATTCATGCCATAGGGTATCCTGTAATTTTGTCTCTTTCATTTTTACTTTAAAGCATTTATGAGGGATCCTATCAAATAGTTTCTCATTGCTTCCCTATCCAGTTGTTAGAATAGTCATGTTGTTCCATGTTTAGTGTAACAGTGTTTCTCTGGTGTTTGCATTGATAAGAAAGTACTTCCTGTATTTTGGAATGGCTGTAATTCGCAGCTTCTTTTGGTTTTCTGTGCATAACATCATGTTCAGCATGAGAATTTGCTGCAAAGGGAAATGGGAGTCCAGTTCCATATTGCACAACACGAAGACACACCAAACTGCACAATTATAATAATATCTTTTTGCAACCTGAAGTCTCCCCATTATGTTCTCTCTATTAAGAAATTGCTACTTGATTTTTAAACTGATATTGGTTTTATTTTAAACTTGTTTAGGTGCATGCCACACTGGAATTGTTTGCACTTGTCACAGTGGTGTTTGAACTTGGTATGAAGATGAGGTGGTTGGGCTTTCAAACCTTTATTAGACACAAAAGAACGATGTTGAAAGTAAGTTTTTTTTGTATGTTGTGGCTATGAGAAATAAGGACAACATTATATAATAAATTAGGGTAGTATAGTATATCCCTATGTAATTGCATTAAGACTTTTATACTATTGTACTGAAACTCCTTTGTAGTAGAAACAAAGGAAAAACTGAAGCACAGAAGAAGGCGTTCAGTGTCTTGTGCAGGCCAAAAAAGAGCTCTGAAATCTAATCTCACTTTCTAGCACTTGGTCCGTAGCCCTGTAAAGTTAATGCACCTCAAGTGCATGTCCAGCTGTTTTTTAAATGCAAGGACGGTTTCTGCTTTTACAAACCATTCAGGAAATGAATTCTGAACCCCATGCCCTCAGCGTGGAGAAAAAGAAAATCCTCCTGAATTTCCCCCGATCATTCTACCAATTACTTTAAATATATGCCACCAGTTACTGATTTTTCTGCTAATAGATCCATTTTGTCCGCATTACCTCCTCCCCTTCGAGTTTTATGATTATGGATCAGTTTGCCATGCAGTTCTGTGTTGTCACTCTCCTGTCTTGAAAACTGGGGTTACGTTGCCCTGTGCTGTACCAACCCTCTGCAAAAGCACCTCAGCAATTCCCATGTTTCTCACCTTTTCTTTGTAGTCTTTCAAACTTTTTCTTGCCATATATTTGTAAATTACTCTTTTGAAAGCCGTTATTGAATCTGTCTCCATTACATTTTCAGATTGGAGATCCTAACCATTACATAATAAAGCTTTTTGTCATTTTTCTTTCGGGGTGTTCAGTTAGCCAGGTTGACTAGAAAGTCATTTCGCTGTATGTCAACTCGGGGGGTAAAAATGCTGTGTTTGTGGGTGTAGTTAACTGAATACCATATCATTTATTATTTCTATCAAAAAATAAAACACATCGTTGCCTGATAAAATGTTTGAATAGATTTTTCATACCTTCTGACAATTTTGAATAGACCATCCTGAAAACTTAGAGCCACAGTATTCTGTGTACAGAACTTTATGAATAAGTTAAAAGTCACTTTTTCCCCCTAAATAAATCAATCTAATTTGTATTTGAATGAGTAACCATTGTTTGAATGTTGAACTTTTGTCCTGAAAATAATTGTTTTCCAATATGAGTAGGAGTGTGGATGTCAATAATGGAACAGAAAGACTTCCAAAACAGAATAGAATAAAACATAATAGGAACAATTCTCTACGTGCAGCAGTGAAATGCCACAGTTTTGCTGGCCTGTTCATAGATCTTAAGTTCACGGGTCATAGGAGAGCCAAAAAGCATGTTTTTGTCAAGACCCATTAAATGCTAAACAAAAGGAAGAGTCATTCATAAAAATGAATAACGCTATCAATATCCGGAATGCTACTAAGTTCAATGGAGAATGGGATACGATGTTGCATCAAAAATGAATGTTTATTGGCTCTGACATCCCTAACACTGGAAAGACACAAATCAGTCAGCAATCTGTTTATCGCATATCCTTTCTCTGCAAATTGATGGGTTTTTATTTACAAATGTGTTAATAGCATGCAACATTAATATATTATTCACATAGTGCAATTAAGAAGCAATTTCTGACCCTGTGGCCCTGAATTTCCATCATGTTACTCCATTTTCCTACCATAACTTCAGAAGGTAATTAGGTTTATTCCCAAAGAAATTCAAGGCCTCGCAATTACAGAATTACCTCTCCTTAGCTCCCACATTTAATCCTGCCCTCAAAAGAATTCACTTCTAAATGTATACTTCATCATGCATGTCACTACATTCGAACTCTGGGGAATGGAGCTTGTTTTATTAAGACATGATTTGTTCCATTTTAGAAGTAGTTATTTATTAAGTAATTTTAACACACAAAGAAATTTAACCTGTTCCCTTTCTGGTATTTCTGCAGAGTGTGGTTTTGTTTGTACAGTTTATAGAAGTTATTGTGGTATTAATCAGGCAAACCTCACACGTCCGGATAACTCGAGCATTGCGGCCAATCTTTCTGGTAGACTGCAGATATTGTGGAGCGGTGAGAAGGTAAATTTGCAGCAATTAGATTTTTTTTTGTCAAGAATTCCATAAATACCAGGCATGACAAAAACGCATCAAACAGCTAATTGATACTGAATACCAGCAAGAATTTAGAATGCAAGTCTTTAAACTGATAGTTTGAACACATGATTTCTAATCAGAGGTTTGTGTCATTCATTGTCTTAACACTTCCTAAAAATTCTTACTGTGCAGGGTTCTGTTTCTTTTGATTAATTGGTTTTAATTAAATAAAAGTAATCACTTAATTTCACGTGGACATACTATTTTTAAATATTTAGACGAAACCAGTGTCTTTGTGCCATTACAGTTATGAACAACAAAATTATAAGAATGTCAGTGGATCAAGAATGTGCTTTATTCTAATGCCATTCCTTTTATTGTGTCTTCATATAAATGAGCATAATTTGTATTAGTCAACCTTTAGATGAAATGTGATTAGAGGATGAGAGATAGGTGGACCAAGACACATAGATGTAATTGATCTCTCATTTTAAGTTCGTACATCTATTCTTATCTATTTATTGACAAAACCGCAGGATATAATTACAGTTTTGAATTGTGATTTTTACTTATGTACAAGTGAATTTGTTACGAAAGCAGATAACAGTAAATGCATGCAAATAGAATGTCTATCTATATATGTATAAAATCTTTACAGACCAAAGGACGTTGGTGAATTTATGCGCAGCTGTAGTTTAGTGAACCAGGTAGACCAAGATAAATTCACGTATTTTGTTCTATTTAGTCAAAGCTTTGGGCAGGCATTTTAAGTGGCCACTAACTGAGAGAACTCAACCTGTGGCTACCAAATAATTTGTTAAAAGCTAATAGATCATAGGTGAGTTTCTCAGCCTCAAGTTACAGCTTCCAGCCACAGTTTCTCACAGGTCTTGACACTCATGTGCCAGGTCACCAGAAGATGCAAGCCAATCAGGATGGCAGTTTCTGGGTCAAAAAGAATGTTGATTGAGGTCTACCCCTTGGGAAGTCTAGCAGTAAGAAGGTAATTGTGTGTTGTCATCTTTTCACATCATCGGGCTAAGTGGGAGATTAGAGTTGAATGTGAGGGAAGAGCATTGGCTTTTGAAGGCCACTTCTTTACCCACAATCGGTGCTCCTTCTCTCCAACCCAGCATGCAAATTAGTTAGGATTTCCAGTCAATTCACCACCTTTCCAACCCGTCTGGAAGGCTGGTAATCGGAAACGTGGCAATTAAGATCCTTAACAGGCCATTGATTAACCACTCAAGGGCCTTAATTGGCTGTCAGTTGAGAAAGCCTCCATTGCACCTTCTTGCCCATAATTTAGTTGGTCAGATGGCATCAATGGGGCAAGAATCTCTTCAGGGCCAACTCATCAATTAGTTCACCTCCTTGCCATCTTCAGTGAGGCAAAATTTCCATCCATGGTTCCATTTTGGGTTATAGCTGTAGTTTGATAGCTTCAGTTATTTTCAATTATTAATGTTGGAGTGAATTCAGGAAATGGCACATGCATCTATTTAATAATGTTAGAATTATCTAAAGCAAACCATTTTTCCGTTATGTTACTAAAACTTAGTAAACATAACAAGTAAGCAGCTTTGATCTAGTGTGAACCCAAATTATTTTGTCAAAATTTTATTCTACATCTATTATTTATATGTTGCCTAAGTTCCAAAATACAAGATTATTTATTGACCATTAACTAGAATGCTAATTAATTTCTTCTTGTTTAAATGGCAGACTTCATCAGTGTAAATATTGTTTGACTCCAGGAAATACTGAAAATAATTGCCCTCTTCTTAATTGGATTGAAAATCTAGAAGCCATATGGCTTTGTTAAATTAATAATTGTGAAATGATTGGCTGTAGCAGAAGGGGAAGTTTTAAATGGAAAGAATAATGTTTTTTAAATGTTGGAATTCTCACCACAACAGTATTTTCCGTCGTCAATAAAAACGTTACATGATCCAATATGTTATCAACAAAAGTAACGTAAGGCCAAATCAAAACTTTTTAAAATTAGTTGAACCCTCCATTGGTTCTTAAGAAAATCCTCATTTAATATTAGTACATAATTACCAGAAAGTGCAAAATGTTAGTCCTAATTATGTTTTGTATTTTTGAATTCCCAGAAATTTGCGTCAGATTTTCCAGTCTCTCCCTCCTTTTATTGACATTTTATCGTTACTACTTTTCTTCATGGTCATTTTTGCCATCCTGGGTAAGCTCTCACCTACCTAGTTAATGATTTGTCTTTACATAGACCCTATCTAAATATACTCTGAATGTGTATTAAAGCATTGAATGTGAAACTAGTTTTCAGATTATACTAATTACAGTGCTAGCTCTCCATACAACCAAGGCACAAGATTCAAAAATAAAGCTCTGTGCTTTTTACAAACTACTTATTTTATGCATTTAAAAAAACACATTTTAAATATGGTGAGCAGATGTTGAAAGCTGGTGATGTGATTCCTGGCTGTTAGAGACAAGCTGATAGAGGTATTTATAGATCTAGCCTGACTTCAATGGTGGAATAGATTTTCTCTTACATTTTATATTCCTCCAAGCTGAAATACATTCCGTAGTCCATTTTAAGGAAAATATGTGCTCATATGCTAGATGGGGTCCCAAAGATCCATTCATTTAAAACCTTTGCAGAACAATCAGTACTAATGCAGGATGTATGTGTTGCCTTAGTCCATTATATTTAGGTGTCTTTTGTTGTACAGTTGGTTTCTAAGAAAGGAAGAAAAGTCAGGAAATCAAGAGATTTAAAAACAAGTTGTTCTTAGCTTAGGCAGTAGAATGGAGCCTGCAAAATTTACCCAATAATATGTTGGGTTAGAAACAAAGTTGCAACCAACTGAGTCACAGCCAACAGAATCTACTATTTGTCACAGATGGTCAGAGTCAGTGACTGTGTCTTCAAATGACATTTCCTTGCAATTGTGCCATGAACTTCCCATTGCTCAATGCATCAAATCAAATTGCCCATTCAGTGATGGTCTCCATCCCTCTTGGAGGATGCAGTGGCCCTTAGCAGGAAGCAGCAGAATAGACTTGTTTGGGACTGTCACAGCTGCATCGCCTGACCCCTTCAGCCGTATTGCTGAAGCCTTCCCTCAGGTCATGATTATGGCATTACTGAAGATATCCAGGCTGACAGAATGTTCCTGCCTTAGGCACTTTCTTAAAATTGCACCACACACATCCTACAATTTGGTATGAAGTACAAGATTCAGGTGGCATTACCATTCACCTCTTGCATTTCACCTCACCTATTATCCCTCACCCAAATCTTGTGTTTTGCATTTGTGCTTTTAAATACTCAGGGATTGCAGCCTGGCTAGACCGGATGAAGATAAAGCCCCAGAGTTAGAACAGACCTCTGAAGGAGTAGCCAACAACTATGATACTGTTATTGTTTATATCATTGGGTAGTATAATGACAGAATCTGCATGTGGTGAGTCAACATGCACAAGTAGGCTGCAATCAGGACAAGGGAAAGATAATGCATAATTTGCTCTCTGGAGGACATGGTTGCAGATGAGTCCTGCTGCAAAGGATTCAGATGAGGTCTTCAAAGGGATGGTCACAGGAGAAGAGCTGATGAGCGTGCACATAAATGTTTGGTGCTCCTGTCACCATAAGAGATTGTGAAGTGGTGGCTAAATCTAGAATACATCCAGATCCAACTGTCATGCAGCATCTGATTGTCAGTGTCTTGGCTTCCATTGTAGCACAGGCAAGCTACGAGTCTGAGTCCTGCATTAAGTGCTCAAACTGAAATCATATGATCTGTACTAGTTGCCATGCAAGCTCACCTCGGTGCCATGCAGATTTGCATTGTTGCCACCATGGCTGGAGGTGCCAGTGTTTGAAGGGCTAAGCAGCAGCAGTACAGCAATTTGTGCTCCAGATTATGCTCACCTACAGTGCCAGTGTCTCCATGGCATTGGAATCTGCTGTCCAGTACGACAGCATTTATACTGTTACCATTAGCATGACGTTTTGTGATGTCTTTTACTCCAGTATTATGTCTAGGAAGAAACTGTGATTCCCTATCACAGATGGGTGGTGAGATGGGGAAGTGTTAAACAGCTGGGTTTTAAGGATTTACTCATGGAAATCAAAAGCTGATTAAATGACCACAGATATTCCTTCAAAACTGTGGATGTACCAGCTTCCTAGTTTACCCCTTCCTTTTCCTGAGATGGTTGTCAATGACCTGGTGAAAAGTATAACATTGTCATAGTGACCAGGTTGTCAATGGTGCAACACAACTCAGAGATGCTCCCTGGCATGTACACGAGGGACCCCTTACCCCAAGAATTCTAGGATGTCAATCATCTTCTCCATAACATCACCTAGTTACAGCAGTGCTTATATTGTAGGAATACTGACCGTGTGTGATAGGGCCACGGAGGTGAGTCATTAGCCATGTGTATAGTGGATGGCTCTTTTTGGTGTGCAATCGCCCTCTGGTGGCCCAAAGACAGAAGGATCTACTGACTGCCTCAAAATGAGAGCATCATTACTGCTGCCAGTCTAGCAGGCATTTTCAACATGATTTGGGCATGCATGCAGTTGATAGGTCCCTGCACTATATAGATACTTTCCATCCTTGTAGAAAATGTTCCTTTCTGCTTAAAAGAGAAATCAGTGAACTCCCCATTCCTGATACACAGGACTTCCTGGATGCTACAGTGCATGGTGAACTGCAATACGCTGCCAAGGTTAACTGTTTCAATCCATGAGGGTCTGCTGCTAGAAATTGTGGGTCACCTTGATGGGCACTGATAGTGCCATCCCCATCTTGATTTGAGGCAATAGGTCATAGTCAGGGAGGGGGACACAATTCTGTGTCAACTTTCATAGTGGAACACAATAATTAAATCCACTGTTCCAGGCCTAGGTACGGAGAGGAGGTGTGCTTCCCGAAGAGTTTAGACATCACTCCACATTACATAATGATATCAGAATCCAGTGCATGCATGGAGTACCCAAACTATTGCCCTCTACAGCATAGTGTAGGGCCTACCAGCTACTGTAGTGGCAGAACTAAAGGTAGTGTTGACACAGTTCCAGATAACCATAAGGGCTGCTGTCCCATCGAAGAGAGATGACTGTTGTGGTTGACCATGATCACCATGCCTCAGGCTAGAGGAGAGGTCTTCCTGGTAGCCTGAGCTGGTGCAGAAATTGAACCCATGCTGTTGGCAACCCTCTGTATCACAGACCAGCCATCCAACCAATTGAGCTAAATCGAACACCTGGCTGAACTACCAGCAAAATGGAGCCCAATGTTGCAACCTTTGAAATGTCATTTCAAGATGCATGGAGGAAAGAGGACACCAGGTAACACAGACTGGAGAGTGAAAATAGCTGTGCCACTTGTCTGTTACAAGTGATCAGTTCTAGAACAATTAAGTTGAAGTCTGTGTGCAGCTGCACTTAGAAAACAGAACTGGAAATAACAGTAATGAGGAAACTAATACATTTTAGGAAGTTTGAACAAACAAAGAGTGTGTGTATTTGTTCTTTTCTGAGGGTGCTTCTAAAGCTGCGGATTTGCCATCTTCTGTTATGTGATGCATTTTTTCATTATTTTTCTAGGATTTTATTTGTTTTCTGCCAATCCATTGGACCCAGTAAGTATTCACAATCTTTAGTTAGACATGTTTGTTGGTCATATATTTCATGGCTATATTTTTGTTTAATTACCGTACATTGTATGTGTCTAGTTAATATTCCAGTAGAAATTTCTGCTTGTTAATGCACAGTAATGTTTTCGAGCTATAAAATGTTATGGCACAGAAAGAAGCCCATCGTGTCTGTGCTGACAAAATCAGCCAACCACCCTAATCACACTTTCCAGCACCTGGTCCATACCCTTGGAGATTGCTTGCTTCAGGTGCAGATGACCCCATTGTGTCAATACAGGCAATATTTGACACCTCCACACAGCTTCATGAGGGACATCACTAGCACATCCTGTTAAATAGAGTGCACATTGTCACTGGTAATTTTACCAGCCCTTTGGGGATGGATTAGCAAATGGGAGGGTTAACAAGATGACATTGAAAGACATTGACAGAGAAGCCAAACTTTTCCTGCCGCCAGGAATATTCCTAGCAGCAACAGTGCTGACCAGAGGTAGGTGGCTAATTCAGTCAATTAATTGTTGGCCATTTTAACAACTAGGCAGAATTTACCTATATCAGAAAGCCCTGCCTTCATATGAAGAGTGCATAAAAGGTTTTGGAGATGCTGCAAGTGAGCAAAATATAGGAGATGGAATAAATTGTGGAGGAACGTGAGGTTTTCCACCTTGTTAGGAAAATAATACAATGTATTTCTTAAATGCTAAAAGTTTGGGAAGTGTTGAACTTAAAAGGGACTTGGCTGTAATTGAGACATTGAAAAATAACATGCGGGCACAGCAAGCAACTAAGAAGGTAAATGGTATATTAGCCTTTATTACTAAAGAATTTGGAGCATAGGAGTAAAGATGTCTTACTGAAGTTATGTAGAGCCTTGGTCGAGTATTGTGTGCAATTTTAGTCTCCTTACCCATAGGAAGATGTACATGCCACAATGGGAGTACAACAAAGATCCACCTAGCTAATTACGGGATAGAAGGATTGACTTACGAGAAAAGATTCAATAGATTTTCCCTTTATTATTTAGAAGAATTAGAGGCAATTTCACACATACAAAATTCTTACAGGACTTGAAGGAAAGATGTTTCCTATGGCTGCAAAGGTTTAGAACCAGGTAACACAGTCTTAGATTAAGTGGAAAGCCATTTAGAAGTGAGATGAACGGGAATTTCTTCACTCAGGTAGTGGTGAATTTCAGGAATTCTTTACTGCAGGGCACTGTGGAGACGCAGTTATTGAGTTTGTTCAATACTGAAATTGATAGAAATCTATTAAGAGCATTGAGGGAAATGGGAACAGTGCAGGAAAATGGTGTTGAGTAGAGGATTAGTCATGATCTCAATGAATGGCAGAGTGGGCTCGAAGGCCTGAATGGCTACTTCTGCTCCTATTTCTTAGGTTCTTACGATTAGCTGAAAAATTTCAAAATATTATCACCCTAATCTTAACTGTAAATTCTTAATTTATCAGTTTCATAAAACGCACAAATTGTAAGAAAATACATAGCACGTAAAGATATGATTTTTTTTCATTTCATGGTAAGTGATTATAAGGTTGGTTTTTTTGACAATGCTTTCATTTTCTACTTGCAGTATTTTAGCACTCCGGAAGACAGTCTTGTCAGTTTGTTTGTTCTCCTAACTACAGCTAAGTAAGTGTACACAACATTCTAGTTAAAGATACAACAGCACAGTCCTGCCCTTTGAAGCAATGGTAACTTGCAGGGAAAGGGCTTTAAAAAGTGAAATGAGCTTATTTTAGTATCAGTAGTTGGTACAATAACTTGTGTTTATGTAGCACATGGGAAAATGCCATATTTCATTACAGCAACCTGTTTGATATTTAATACAATAGCATATTATGTTGAGACACCAATACCCTTTACCATTGGGTTTGGTGAGGAAAGAGGCAAAGTAGGATGTGATTTATAACCTGGTGAAATGGTACTGTCAAACTGACATAGCAGAATCTCACATGAAGAGGAAGAAATTACATGAACAAGTATCCAAACATTTCTACAATCGATGTTTGGTTTAAGAAAATTGCTGTCCTTCTTCAGTTCATTGGTTAAATGCATAGCCTTGCAGAATCAAGCTAAACTGGAAAGGCCTCAGTAACAAAACTAAGAACTGTGGATGCTGGAAATTTGAAACAAAGACAGAAATTGCTGGAGAAACTTAGCAGGACTGGCAGCATCTGTGAAGAGAAAGCAGAGTTATCATTTATAGTCCAGTGACTGTTCTTCGGAACAGTTCTATGGAAAGGCCTCAGGTTAGATCACTGATTTGTGCTGATTAAACTAACCTCCATCGGGGAGTCACGAGGAATGCTGCAGTTAGATCTAGAAAGAAAACCTCAGGAGAGGTCCAGACATTTTGAACTAGGAATTTTTGATGGAAATTATTTAGTCAGGGGAATCAGACATGGTTGTGATACTCTCTGTGGTGAAATAGTGGTCCAACAGTCCAGAATGACACATCAAAATGGCTTCTTAGTGTCTCTGAGGACTAACTGTGGTTCCCTTAGATTTGAACTTTAACATGAGTCACTGCAGATGACGGAAGAGAAAAAGAGCAAACTGTGGTGGGGATGGGGATGGGGATGAGGGTCACATTGAAATAGGGATTTCCATTTTACTTTTCTTAGAAAAGATAATTCTATAGTTTTCCAGATGTGATGATGCCAGCTTATTCCAAAAATCGTTGGTCCTGTGTATTCTTCATTGTGTATTTATCCATTGAGCTCTACTTCATCATGAATCTGGTATGTTTTTGAATAATATTAATCAAAAATTGAGAAAAATATTTACCCAGTTTAAAAACTTATAATTTAATACATTGTGAATTTAATTTGCAGATTTGCTTTATTGAGATTTTTAACTAATATTTTGGTCACAATTTTCCAGCTTCTCGCCGTGGTGTTTGACACATTTAATGATGTTGAAAAGAAGAAGTTTAAATCACTGCTTTTACACAAACGATTGGCAATAGAACATGCCTTCCGTCTTCTGGTCAGTAAAAGGGTGAGTAATGCACAAATGCTTCTGTAGGTTTTGTTGAGCAGTATAGTTTTACGTTTAAAAAATTGTGATTTAATGATGATCTGGACTCTGTCTGAAATTTGCGGTATACTTTATTCATGCTAAAAATTAAGATGAGTCATTGAATTTTCTACAGAAGTATTTGGATTTTGATTTAAGCAATTAGGATTGCATCCTATCAGAATTCTTGTAATATGGAGGTTATTTTTAAAATCAGATTGTTTACAAGGACTATTACACACCACCAGAACAGGCAGGATTTGAGCTCAGGCCTGCCTGGGGAGTTCAGAGGTAGGGACAGCCCTTCCCTGTAACATGGAAGATGCTTAAACAAAATCATTCCACCTGTTTCACCTGAATAAGAATACTAAGACATCACTACAGATGGTATTCACTAAATTCAATAACACATGACCAACTTACAGGTCTCTTCCCTACCTTTCACTTTCATTTCAAATTGCATTTATGCAGACTGATGAAATGATCACTAAATCACAGAATTATTACAACAAACACAAATGTCATTTGGCCCACCATGTCTGTACCAACTGTCTAAATGAATATTTTGCTTCATGCCATTCTCCTACCTTCTCCTCATAACCCAGCACATTGTCCATTTTCAAATAATGGTGTAATCACCTTTCAAATGCATCAATTGAATCTGCTTCTCCTACACTCTCAGGTCATGCATTCCAAACCCTAACTACTCGCTGCATGAAAATGCTTCTTCTTACATTATTTTTGCCAACTACTTTAAATCTGTGCTCTCTTGTTCTCAGTCATTTCACAATTGGAACAGTTTTCCCCTGTCTATTCATGACTCTGAAAACCTCTATCAAATCTCCACCCAGTCTTCTGCAAAGAAAATAGTCCCAACTTTTAAAATCTGCCTTTGAGAATTCAATCCACACTGGTATATACGCCATGTCACAAGCTAAACACAGAAAATTGAGTAACGAAAGGTTAGTGCGAGTCCTTGCGACCGTTTGGTTTCCATCTTGAAAAAATATTAAGAGAAATATGTCTCATTGGTTAGAAACAAAAGGTTCCAGTAAGATATTTTCTATGTGTATTTTAAGTGTATATTTTGTTTTGAATAATTAATTTTACATTGTCCTTGGGATGTGAGACTCTTCCTGGGTTACAATTTCTTGATTGGGTGCCCTCCTTTACTTCCTTAAGTGCCTGTCATTTCCGCCAAGCCTTGACCAAACCTTGCTTACTTCATGTAAATTTATATTTAAAATAATTGCTTTTAAATCAGAGTGTATGGATCGCCATCAGGAGCTGATTACTTTTTAATAATAAGTCACAGAAACTGAAGCCATTTGTTGGTGCCTGTTGCTGCCCAACAGTAATTAACATGGGATTTCATGATCATTGAGACACAGGTTCTTGCAGAGAAACTCAACAAGCAATCAATATTTCACAGATGTTTAACAGTCTGATCGGTGACTTCATGTGGTTTATTGCAGAGGCCTAATGGGATTTCCTTCAAACAGTTTGAGGGCTTAATGAGGTTCTACTCTCCAAGAATGAATGCAAGAAATAAATATCTCGTCTTCAAAGCACTGAAGAAAGGCGATGCAGAGTTTCTTGGGTGAGGATATTGAGATGTTTCAGCTTAATTATCGGTTGTTTAAAAAACAATTCCTTTCCTTCACAATTAATTTTTTCCAGAATATCTTTTATATACTCCTTGACTGCTAGGGTTATGTATGTATGAATGATGTATGTACTTAAAATGAATATCTGTCCCACAGAATAGAAGATTTTTACAACTTCTATGAAGTTGCTGGATTAAAATGGAAAGTAAGTAATGTGGAAGTTTTACATTTGTTTTCTGTTTATGTAAAGTGAATGCTAACCGGGTTTTGGTAAATACTAAGTGTTGGATAGTGTAGTCTACCTACTTAATGCTATGGTTTATGCTGCACAACCACATATTCAAAGTTCACATTAGGTGTAAAAATCTAGTATAGAATAAATGGTACCGAACTTCAAGTGGGCTGCTATCTCAGTGTTTTTCCAAAATGGATTGTGTGTCAATTCAAAAGTAAAATATATTCAAGACATAAAGAAGATTATGGCAAAGATCTGTGATATTTAATAATTACTGCATTTGGAAGAAAGGTAAAGCATAAAAAGCCTTGCATAATTGAATGAGAGAGAATCTAAGATGGTTTAATTCTGTGGATTTTCTTAATACAGTAAATTGCCCAGTGCTGTAGTTGAAAAGGAATGCAAGTCAGAGCTGAAGCTAAACCACCAGTTGTTCAACCCTTTTTTTTATGTGCAACCCCCCATAGTGAACTTATCTTGTTGATTATTCTTTGTATTGATTCCTTTACCAAACATTTCAGCATTTCTTTTGAACAAAGTAGAAACAACATCAATTACAATTAATTACATTTAGATGGTGTGTTTTTCTCCCCTAGGCAAAAAGAAGTGGAGACTATTGGTTTTATGATCTTCCACACACTCCATTTCTTATATTTAAAGGTAGTATTACTGTGGATTACATAATGAAACAACCAGGGGTCTTGTAGATTAATCAGTAAATCTGTTTTAGTTTTACAAATTTATACATTGGCCTTAAAGGACCTGCAATTAATTTGTTTAAATAATCCCCCCAGTTAAACTGTTAATTTTAACTTTTTTTTAGTTGCTTTTATTGGATGAATCTATATCTATTGTATGCATTGTAAATCAAAATTAGTTATAAAGTTTAGTTTGATCTCAGAGCTTGGGTAATAGTTGCTAATCGTTTTATTTTACAGCTAATGACATTTTTTGACCCCCAAGAATAAATGCAAAATTAGTTTTGTTTCACATTTTAATACAAATTCATTCTCTGGATATACATTTCTGGCAAGAGTAGCAATTATTGCCCATCCTTTGTTACCCTGAGAACCAGTGATGGGCTTTCTACTTGAACTGCTGGAGTTTGAGACAAAGCTGCACTTTCAATGTTGATAGGAAAGGAGTTATAGGATTGTAATCTAGCAATGATGAAGGAATGTAGTGCATGTCCAGATCTAGATAGTTTGCAGCTTTAAATGAGATTTTGGAGTAGATGGTATTCTGATGCATCATCTGTCCTTAGTATCCATCAGTGCACTTGTAGGGTTATCATTTCTAATATATTTAGAATAATTTCAATACTTAAATTTCAGTCCAAAGCAAAGATGTTGTCTTCATAAATAGAAACTTTGAAATGTTGAGGAAGTGGTTATAATTTACTATGAGTTATAAATCTTCTAATTATTTTCTACTTTTGTAGGAATTAATATCCTTGTGAAGTCCAAAGCATTCCAGTATGCCATGTGTGAGTAGATGTGTTTCCTGATCAAATTGTCTTACTTAATTGTGCTGAAAATTTTACAATGAAGGGGGTCAGTAATTTGGATTGCAACAAAGCTTTGCTGTAATAAAGTTTTGGTTAATGATGTTCCCTCTGTGGCCAGTAGCGCATTTAGTCCTCTGTAGTATGTACAAAAATATTTGATCCTACTTAAATGCATGGCCTTAACATTTTATTACTTTCTCATATTACATTTGTTCTAACAGCAATAAAATTATTAAGATAATTTCTGGTATAAAACTGTTCACACAAACAAATCTCCAATTGTTCGATTAAGTGAATATTCTTCCTGCTGATCAAAATCTAATTGTTTGTGGCAAAAATATACTTGTTTTCCTGCTGTGTAATCTGCTAGTTATATAATCACAATGTGAATCTACAAACTGTTAAACATTTATAGACATTGAGTCAGTGTTGTAGACTTCTTGACCACTACCAACTTTGGGCAACACATGGGGCTAGACTTTTCAGTCATAAAAGTGGCATTAGTGTCAGTGATTTTTGGAGTCTACCACACGTGCAGTCAGGCATAAAAATATTGAAGTACACCCTCCACCACCGACTCCGTCTCACTTCGCTCGTCACAGTCAAGTAGAAACCTGTGAACTATGAGTTGTTCCCTTTTTTTACGCAATTAGTCTTGCCATAAAAATCCTTCGAAGTTAAATATTGTTGAATCAAGTGTAATTCAGTTTTTGATGATGTAGTAAATTCATGCTTACTGTTGAAAATCTCTGACCTTGAAATCTAATTATATGTATGCAGAATATCAAATTTCTCCATTTATGATTTTGAAGAAAAAGGAATTACACCTCTAATTTCTTTAAGATAAAACATGTTTGATATTTCAGCTTCTACATTAATGCCAAAGATATTCTAACTCCTTTAAAAATAATATTTGAAACATAAGGACAATCAGTTGCAATTTACTTCCAGGTTTCCAATTTGTGAGGATGTTTCATTATGATAACCTGCTCATCTTGCAATTGTTGCTAAACATCTAGAGAATTTTTGACTTAGTGCCAGATTCAAACTGATACCAAGAAGATAGCAATCCCAGTCACCCAGATTGCTAGGTCAATGTGGGTAGTTCTCTTTGAAATCAACAGTGAACGCTATCACTTTGCCTCTAACCAAGAAATCTAGGCCTTTTAAAAAAAATCATCGTTTTTTTTGTTTCAGTAATAAAAACAGAAAATACTGGAACCATCTGCGGCCAAAATCTCATGACGGCAGAAGGGTCTCAGGCATCGGCAAGGGATCCGACGAGATCCGAATATAACCTCTTTCTGTGTTGGCATAGTGCATCACGTGTTACTAGGCACTTACCAGACCAGATCCCTGAGGGTGGAGGCCCTACCCACTAGGAACTGCTTCCAAATTTGTACCCGTCTGAGGCTCAGTTTTTGACTGGAATCATGGGGAGCTGGTCAAGGAGGATGGGGTGGAGAGTTGGCAGACAAGGAACGGTGGGTGTCCTCAGCACATTCCCCTTCTTAATATCGGATCTCTTAATCAGGCACTGAGAACCCTTGAATAATGGACTCTTGCTAGCCTTCAGGGAGTCTGCAAGCAACCTTGAAAACTGGATTAATATCAGCCTCAACAATTGGCAACTTAAAGGGCTCCATTGCAGGGGGAAGGTTTGGGACGCTATCCATAGGCATTTATGCCACAAAGTTAACTGGGGTGAAGTCAGGGTCACCCTCCTGCCACCCTCCCACCTGACTCTGGCAGAAAATACCTCCAGAGAGAAAAACAGAATTGACAAGCAGAATCTAATGCTTTCCAGGTGTTTAAGGAAAATTATGTTTAATTAATTTATTGGAGTTCTTTGAAAAAGTATATTATATTGAAAAGTAGATAAATGGGGATCAGTAGATGTATTGTTTTTTGATTTCCTGAAGGCATTTGATAAGGTGCCACATCAAACGCTGTTGAGGAAAATAAAAGCTTATGTTGTAGAGGGCAACATATTGGCATGGAAAGAAGATTGGCTGGCTAACAGAAAGCAGACAGTAGGAGTGATGTCATGGTAGGATGTCATGAGTGGTGTGCCATAGGAGTTGGTGTTGGGGCCTCAACTCTTTGCAGTTTAAAGACATTATACTTATGGAAGGATGTTAAAGTGTTGAAAGAGTACAGAGAAATTGTACTAGACTAATACCTAGAATGAAATGATTATGAGGAAAGAGGGCACAAAGAGCAGAAACAAAGAGAAGGCAATGGCCTAACGGTGTTATCAATGGATTGTTAATCCAGAGACCAAGGCAATGTTCTGGGGACCCGGGTTCGAATCCTGTCACAGCAGATGGTGAAATTTGAAATCATTTAAAAAAATCTGGAATTAAGAGTCTAAGTGATGACCATGAATCTATTGCTAGAGATAGTAGGAACTGCAGATGCTGGAGAATCCGAGACAACAAGGTGCA